CTGCCCTAACTAACCTAACCTAACCTAACCTAACCTAATAACTAACCTAACCTGCCTAACTAACCTAACTAACCTAACCTAACCTAACCCCTAACCTAACTAACCTAACCTAACCTAACCAACAACCAGCCCTACGTCACTGTGTATATATAACAGAGGAATAATTATCTTTTTCCTCCTTATTAAACACACAGATGCCTAAAAAGCCCCCTTCTTTCCCCCCCTACGCCCCTCCTCCTTTACCTCTTACTTCTCCCCATTTACCCTTTGCCTCCCTCCCCTAGTCATGCCCTTTCTCCTCCCCCGTGTTAAGACCAGAGAGCAGAGTCTATTAATCCCGACTACATGATCAAAGGGGAAATTATTTAGGATTTATACGAATATTGTTGACGATTTGTGTGATATGAGAGAGAGAGAGAGAGAGAGAGAGAGAGGTGGATTACGGAAACAAAAGCCAATACAGTTATCAATATTCATCCTTTACAGACACTGAGTTCCTTATATAATAGTCTCCCCTCCTCCTCCTCCTCCTACCCGTGTTTTCTTTGGTAATTGTCCCACCAATGGAATATACACGACCGCGTATGTAAACATCTCTCCCAGGTGGTGGTGGAGAGAGGGATATACATACACACACACACACACACACACACACACAGAAAGGATAAAGTAAGAGAGAGAGATTATTACCCTGTAGTACTCCCAGTAAATCTTCCTCTTTCGGCCTCTCCCTCCTCTCCACCACTCACACTCCCTCCCTCGCACCTCCCTCCCCCTCTTACTTTACCTAATAACATCCAACCTCTCCATCTAAACTACTTCGCTCAGCCAAATGTTTCGCCAAAGTTAGTCGCCAGTAAAAAAAAATCCGGTTAAAATTTTGGCGAAGAAAAGAGAAACGTTAATTATTGGCAAAAGTAAAGTTGTGAATATTTTTTTTGTCTTCATTCATCTTTCTTCTTCTGTCTTCTTTCTTCTTTCTTAACGCTGAAATGTACGATTTTTTCATTCTTTTCCTTCATTGTAGAATTGAATTGTTGTCTGGTTTTGTGGATTTTGTTTTTTTTTCACTATTAATGAGTATTTTTATAGGAAGGGGCTGAGTTTGGTAGGATCTTTTTAGGCTGAAACTATTTTGTTTAATTAAGGGGGACTGATTTGTTTGAATGGGGCCTGATTTTTGTATGTATGTATGTATGTATGTATGTATGTATGTATGTATGTATGTATGTATGTATGTATGTAATGACTCCAGGTGATGTCGGTCTTATAATTAATGGCTTCAGGTAACTCTAATATACAGTAAAGTTTATAAATATAAACTAATCTTTAATACCAGTTGACGGTAGAGGTGTTAACGTGTAGTGTAATACCAATATAATGATACCGAGTCATTGTATGTTTAGGTATGATGTCCCGTTGATACCAGATGACATTATACGCTGCTGAGGTACCTTATAATACCTGTATAGTTCTCGATACCAATATAGAGACACCAGGTGAGAACAGCGGGGCGTGGCAGATGGACATGTACCTGTATTGTTAATTAACAGGTGACAGCAGACGCGATGATTGGTAGAAAAGTCCCCCTACGTGTTAGAGAGAGAGAGAGAGAGAGAGAGAGAACGACACACACACACACACTCACACACACACACACACACACACACACACACACACACACACCAAAATGAATACTAGGTTAGGTTAAGTTAGGTTTAAAACACCACTTACCTCGTGATACCAGGTGATAGAGGAGGCCTCAGGGTTGGCGGACACGATACAGTCAAAATAAACATCGTCTCCTTCTTTCAGTAGTGAGGGCTTGAGCGTCCGACCCAGAGTAGCGTTCACCGTCGGGGGATCTGAGAGAGAGACGGGGGAGAAATGATGAGTCTTCAGCTCTCTCTCTCTCTCTCTCTCTCTCTCTCTCTCTCTCTCTGTGTTTGTTTATATATTTCCTTACTTATATATCTATCTGTTTGGGCGTCTGTCTATCTGTTTATCTATATAACTCTCTCTGTCTATCTCTATATTGAATTGAACAGCTGTAAGTCATAATGAGATGGAATATGTATGTTTTATGTATGTATGTATGTATGTATGTATGTATGTATGTATGTATGTATGTGTGTATGCATGTATGTATGTTTGGTATGTTATGTTATGTATGTATGTATGTTTGGTATGTTATGTTATATATGTATGTATGTATGTATGTATGGTATGTTATGTATGTATAAATTAAACAACAGAATTCCATATCTTTCACAACGTCACAACAACTAGTCATAATATCACACACACACACACACACACACACACACACACACACACACACACACACACACACACACACACACACACACACACACACACACACACTAGGGGGGACTAGCCAGTTCCACAGGTAATTCTACATCACAGGTAATCCAATACGACAGAGGATCAAGGCCACGGTTAATCAAATCTATTTCAGGAACTCAAACCCTAACTTATGGATATTGGTGTTCATCGGCTGGTGGGAGGGAGGAGGAGGGGGAGGAGGGGGGAGGAGGTAGGAGGAGGTGGGGAGGAGGTGGAGGAGGTGGGGGAGGAGGTGGGGAGGGAGGGGAGAGGTGTGGCATTAATCCTCCCTCCTCCTCCGCCTCTACTTCTTCCTCCCTCCCCTGCCTCTGATTAGTCTCTATTTTGCTAGGATTGTGGTTATTTAACTGGGATTAAATGGGTGTGTGTGTGTGTGTGTGTGCTTGTGTGTGGGGGCGTGTGTGTGTGTGTGTGTGTGTGTGTGTGTGTGTGTGTGTGTGTGTAGGATTGGGTCTATCATTAGCTTTGAGGGTAATCTATTAAGGCCAGATTAGTTATGAAACAGATTGGGTGTAATATAGTTTATTGTTTAGTGAAGGAATGGTGGAGGGAAGGATGGAGGATGTGAAGGTAGGAGCAAGGGAAGAGGAAGGAGAGACGGCAGGAAGGAGAGGGGGAAACGAGAAGACAATGAAGAAGGAAAGGAGGGAGAAGGAAGGAAGGGGAAGGAAGGAAGGAAGGAAGGAAGGAAGGCAAAGAGGGGAGGGGAGGAAGAGGATAGGAAGGAGGGAATGAAGGTGTGGGAGGAGGAAGGAAAAGTAGGGGAGGAAAGAAAGGGAGGGTAAGGAGGGTGGAGGAAAAGGGGGGGAAGGTAAGGAGGGCGGAGGAAGAGGGGAAAAAAGGGAGGGTGGAGGGAGGAGGAAAAGGGGGGGAAAATGGGAGGGTGTTTGGGAGGGAGGAAAAGGGGGGGAAAGGGAGGGTGTGAGGGAGGGAGGAAGGGAGCTCTTGTTTATCGGATGGTGTATATTGGACAAGATCTGAGAGTCAGCGGGGGAGGGGGGGGGGAGTTTCTGAGAGTCGGTGAGAGTGAATGATGGTCTATGAGAGTATGTGAGAGTCTTTGAAAGTGCATTAAGAGCATCTGAGAGTGACTGAGAATATCTGAGAGTCGGTGAGAGTGAATAAGAGTTAATCAACACGTGTGAGAGTGGATAGAAAACGAGTTACTCACAGTGAACGACAAGAGTGGTGGTATTGGTAAGCGGGGACTTGGGTCTGGTAGGGTTCTTGGCCTGACACACTACAGCTGCCTGGTCATGTTCCCTCGTCACGTTGATCACCAGGGTGGAGGTGGTGGTGGTGCCCATGCCGTACTCAGGGCTCTGTCACGGGGATAAGAATAACGTAAGAATAATGTAAGGAAATATAAAGAATGGATTAATATATACAGACACAAAGACATAGGTGTTTATTTATAGTTAAAGAATCGTTAGGTAACATATATAGTTTGCCCTCAGTATAAATAACGAAGGTAAACATACACTTTTTTATAATATTCTAGGACAGGTACATTGCCTACCTGTGTTACCTGAGGGGTTAAGGGGTAAGGGGGGGTAATAAGGGGATTCTTTTGTGTGTTGGCTAATGGGAGGAGAGTTGTCTTTTAATGGGGTCCTTTGGGTCTGGTGCTTATGGGTTAATGGGGAGGGAAGACGAATTGATTATTAATGACTAAAGGGTTACATACATGTGTGTGGGGACGGGGCAGAGTCAATGGGAGTTTGTATGTGTGTATGAGAAACACACACACACACACACACACACACACACACACACACACACACACACACACACACACTAAACGACACATACACACACACCACACACACACAATACACAAATACACTAAACATATTATCTTACACATAAATTTATCCGTGAAGAAATTTGAGGGCTTCCTGTGACCACTAGACCCTTGACAGGAAAAACAAACCCCTATTGAGAGAGAGAGGAGAGAGAGAGAGAGAGAGACAGAGGTGCTGGAGCAGAGCAGGCAGGCAAAACCCTCCACACCCCCACCATCACCTCTTCATCCTTCCTCTTCTCCTCCCTACCCCCCCCCTTCATCTCTATCCACACCTCTCTAATGTAACTTCCATCAAGGTTAAAAAAAAATAGTCAAGTAGTTTGGGTCGAGTGTCCTCTCTACGGTTAAGACGAACAACAATCAAGGGCAATTCAAAGCTCCTCAGAGTCTCATTATCGAGCCATTATTTTCTCGACAGGTGAGTTCAGGATTTAAAAGGCCATCTTAAGGGAGGGAGGGAAGGAAGGAAGGAAGGGAGGGATTAAGGGCGCTTGTTATTGTTTGGTTTTGTCTTTTCTTACTCTTTTTCAGGATTGAAGTTGGATGTGTGTGTGTGTGTGTGTGTGTGTGTGTGTGTGTGTGTGTGTGTGTGTGTGTGTGTGTGTGTGTGTGTACAGTAAATGGATGAAATTTTGTTTTTGTGGTATTTTATCTGTCTGATATTAAACATACATACATACATACATACATACATACATACATACATACATACATACATACATACATACATACATACATACATACATACATACATACATACATACATACATACATACATACATAATCTCTCTCTTTCTTTCACACACACACACACACACACACGCACACACACCGAGCAAACATTACAAACGCACAAATACCTAAACGTTTCCACCTTCCACTTCCCCAACACAACTGAAATTTCATGTTTAACACGCAGGTAAATTCCTTTATCAGATGGAGTTAATTAGTGAGCGCCGGCCAGGTAATACACACAGGTAATCTAGAGATCTTCTGAGTCTTATGATTCCTTCACTACTATTTCTGGGAGTCTTATTAGTGAGGAGGGGTGGATAGAAAGAGTCTTATTAGGGGGTCTTGAAAGAGTGGGGTGTGATGGATCCCTCTTATTTTAATTGGGAGTCTTATAGGTATATAAGCTCAGGTGAGAAGCATATTCTACTGAGTCTTATGTTGAGGCTGTTGCTGCTGTCGGGAGTCTTATTGAAGGAAGAGGTGGGGGAAAGACTCTCCTGAAGAAGTCTTATACGGGGAGCGTTAACTTTAAGAGTCTTATTTGGGAAGTTTTATAGCCAGTTAACCTCCCCGAGTATAAAACGAATGACTTTGCAGTATAAGACTCCCAAAATATAAGATGAGCCTTATAAGAGTCCTCCAGTATAAAACTCCCCCAATATAAGACCCCCACCTATAAGACTCATAAGACTCCCCCAGTATAAGTCTCCCAGGTATAAGCCTCAAAAGACTCCCCAGTATAAAACTCCCCCAATAAAACACTCAAAAGACTCTCCCAGTATAAGACTCCCCTGTATAAGACTCCACCTTTATAAGACCCCCAACAACACCACGCTAAGGGGAATCAAAATACTTTATGTTATACCGTGTTTACCTGTGCTAGTCTCCCCCTTCCAGGACTGCTCTAATACCTGAGTAAATTAACTTTGCTAAATAACGTGATTTACCTGCACGTTAAATATGTATTTCTACTCCAACTATTTACTCTGCTTTTACCGTTATATTCAATAGCGATGATTAAAAGGAGTTGATTAATGGTGGATGTATTAAGACCCAGAGAGAATTACTCGTTCTGGTTTTTTTTTCCTAATGTTTTTAAATAAATTTGTTTTTTGTTTTTTTCAATCAGTTTAAAGAAATTTATCCATTTTTTTCAATGTTTAGTTTTTCCAAGAGGTCCATAAGTGATGTTTGTTTTAGAATATTTCTTAACTGGTATTGATACTGCGTTAATATACAGGAATTTCTTTCATTAAAAATACATTAATATTCAATGTTAACTAGATACGGTCACTTAGTCCCAGTTAATGGACAAAGTTAAGGTACGGTATTAAGACCTGTAACTATTTGTTGTTACCTTAACTAGATGCGTTAACTTAGCACCAGTTTAGGGGCAAAGTTAGGTCGGGTAAATTTTGTCTCTTAACTGTTACATTATATTAACTTGACATCATTAACTTGACATCATTTATTGGAGAAGTCCGAGATAATGAGATATGAAATAAAGTAAAGAGAATTAGAGAGACAAAGAGAGAGAAAGCAAGAGAATGAGGGAAACATAAACTGATGAGAGAGAGGGAGAGAGAGAGACAGACAGAGAGAGAGAGAGAGACAAAAGGACACAGATAGAGATAGAGAGATCTAGAGAGAGTGTAGGTAAGAGAAAGAAAGAGAGAGAGAGAGAGAGAGAGAGAGAGAGAGAGAGACAGTGAGAGTGAGAGAGAGAGAGAGCACCCCACACCAGAATTTTGATGTGTTGGACGTGAGGCGTAACCGTATGACTTACTGGCTCCACGCGATACCAACTTGACTCCCTTTGCTGCATTACCTCTAAAATGTCCTGTCTAAAATGTCCTGTCTAAAATGTCCTGTCCAAAATGTCCTGTCTAAAATGTCCTGTCTAAAATGTCCTGTCTAAAATGTCCTGTCAAAAATGTCCTGTCTAAAAAGTCCTGTCTAAAATATCCTCTGTCTAAAATGTCCTCTGTCTAAAATGTCCTCTGTCTAAAATGTCCTCGGTCTAAATATCCTCCGTCTAAAATGTTTTCATTCTAAAATGTCTATCGTCTAAAATGTTGTCCTTCACCCAAAATACATTACCCTTAATATATCCTACTCCGTCTAAAATGGCCTTTGACCAAAATGACCTCCCAAAATGTCCTCCCACGCCCCAATATATCTCCAGGTTAAGATAGTCTCCCCCCAGCCAAAAGGTTTACTTGCCAAAATGTCGTCCGCTCAAAATATTCTCCGGGCAAAAGTTGGTTCATATTTAAGAAAGAAAGAAAGAAAGAAATCGGAATATTTGAAGAATTGTGATGTGTTGGTTGACAGAGAAAGAAAACGGAGAGTTGTCCTAGAATATTTTAGGGGGAACTTTAGCAGATCCAAGTAGTTATCTGTGTGTGTGTGTGTGTGTGTGTGTGTGTTCAGCCATCTCTATCCATTCAATATAATTAATCCCTTCACATCACTTTAATAAATCAAGCTCTATCCCATCCCCCCCTCCCCCCTCCAGCCAAAACCATCCACTCGACACGCGAAGAAGCCACTAGTGTAGTTATCCCTTCAGGTATATTGAAAGCTGCAGTCTACTCATAACCATCAACCTCATAGTAATTCATAATCTGAGATAATTACACTCGAGAGGGGATTATCTGGCTGTGTTATGACTCACCACGATATTACTACAATCCATCCTACTCTAGGTACATGAAGTAGCTTTTAGCTTGCATGTTTGCTCCCAGTATCTTACAAATTTTTACTCAGAGGTGAATTTTAGTTCCTGGTGTGTGTGTGTGTGTGTGTGTGTGTGTGTGTGTGTGTGTGTGTGTGTGTGTGTGTGTGTGTGTGTGTGTGTGTGTGTGTGTGTGTGTGTGTGTGTGTGTGTGTGTGTGTGTGTGTGTAAGACCTACAGGGGTTGGCGGTGTGGTACAGGGGAGAGGACTGAGGTTATGGTTCGTTATATTGGACAAGGATAAAGTCTTATTGGAATCAAGTGGATGGTTCAAAAAGATTAATTTTCCAATAGGTCACGGAGCACACGTTTATAGAGAGAGACAGTCAGACAGACAGACAGACAGACAGACAGACAGACAGACAGACAGACAGACAGAGAGAGACGAAACAATATTTAAAAAGAGAACGATAGAGGAAAAAATACCAATAAATTTCCCTCTTCATTCCTCAACTACCATGTTCGTACCCTTCTTCTGTCTCCTCTCTTCCCTTCTCTTCCCCCGGAGGAGAAGAAGAAGAAGAACAAGAAGAAGAACAAGAAGAAGAAGACGATGTTACTCCCTCGTCACGCAGGTCTTAAACCCAGTAATCTGCTTGGTGGTGGTCGACGTCCTTCATCCCCCTCCTCTCCCCCCCTCTCCCCCCACCTCCCCACCCCCTCACCCACCCCCCACCCCCCCCTGCTCCTGCTCCGAGTAATGGTAAAGTTGGTCCGTGGTGACTGTCCTTCTCAGAGCCACTCGGACCACTTCCACGCATAACTTCCCGACGGCCTAAACCTTCGGTCCTTCTAATGCAATATATCCAACCACCACCCGCTCGGCATCACGGGTTGTAACATACGAACATACGATGACCATGGTGGGAAGGGGGTGGGGGGAATGGGGGGTTTAGAGGGGGTAGGGGAGATGGAGGGTAGAAGGGGGAGGGGGATAGAGCAGGAAAGGAGGGGGGAGATGGTGAATGGGGAAGGGGTAGAGGGGGGGAGGTGAGGGGCTTAAAATATCATTAACGCTAATAATAACAACACCTAACAATGGGTGGTTAAAGGTGATTAGCCATGAATTATATCCCCATTAACACTCTTTATAACAACACAATAATAACGACCCCTCGAGGTTAAGGGTTGTGGTATAGAAATCCACAACTCGTTCACCATAACTCAACCTGGTGGTGGTATTTGGTTGTGGATGGCGTTTCCCGGTTGAAAAATACCAACAAACAGTGATTTTCCTGGTTGAAGAGGGACTATAACCTTATTAACTAAAGGTTATAGATCTGAGAGAAGGTTATAGTGACTTCCATGCTGTAATGTAACCCATAAACAGTGATTATACCAAGAGCATGACCAGGAACTTAGCTGTGATCTCTCCAGTTGAGGGTCACACACTGCCTCCCCCGGCCCTGGCTGTAAGATACGGGCAATAGTGACCTTTATGGTGAACTTAATGTAATCTATTAACGCTGATTATGACCGTAATACCAATATAGGGCCGCTTGTACCCGTAGGTAGCCGGGCTAAGTATGCTCACCCTCCGGTTTTAACGAGATTTACTATGTGTGATACAATGGCCTCGCTCTAATAGGACAATAAACCCAGTCTCTCTTTCTCTCTTAGTCTCTCCTTCTATCTCTCTTTCTATCTCTCTATCTCTCTCTTTGTCCCTCACCCTCCCTCCTCCTACCTCCCTATTGCTGTGAGAGATGAAACATATGGCTGTACTGAACTGCCATTATGAGAGCAATTAGCTGCAATTGCATTGTGTAAACGCTTGGCATGAGTTAGAGCCCTCAGCCTGGGGAAGATTGGTCCAGGGAAGATATATAGTATAGTAAAGGTGTGTTTCTTGTGTGTGTGTGTGTGTGTGTGTGTGTGTGTGTGTGTGTGTGTGTGTGTGTGTGTGTGTGTGTGTGTGCAGGTAGGGAGACTTTTGACACACACTTCTTACACCTAAGTTAAGGGCACCACCAGTATTGTTCATATAACTAATTTAATCTTGCGTTAAATACTCCTCTATCCACAGTAGGTTAATGAGGCCACTAATACCGTGTATATAACTAGTGTAAGGACTTGTTAAATACATATCTAATCATACAGTAATTATAAGGACATAAATTATCATCCCGGTACACCTGAATGAAACACCTGATTATTAATTTGAAATATGATGATGATGATGATGATGATGATGATGATGATGATGTTGACGATAGTGACTAAAGATGAATCAAAGAAATCATAATAATAATAATAATAATAATAATAATAATAAGATTAAATAAGAACCATAAGACAAACAGAGAGAGAGAGAGAGAGAGAGAGAGAGAGAGAGAGAGAGAGAGAGAGAGAGAGAGAGAGAGAGAGAGAGAGAGAGTTACCACAATTCCTGAAGCTGGAGAAAATAGCTTCCCATTTTACCAGATGAAGGAGAAGTCGAGCAGAAATGACAGAGCGAAAGAGAGTTGTGTAGCAGACAGACTGATAGATAGATAGATAGATAGATTTTTGTTTCTTCATTTTTCATCGATTCTCTACCATTTCCTCATTTATTACTCCTTGCTATTTCTTCTTTATTTTCTCTGTCTACTTTATGCTATTTTTTCTTATTAATCTACTTAAAAATTTTCATATTTTTTTTTAGGTTTTTCTTTCTCATAATTTCTATTTATTTTGTATTATTATTTGAGGTTTTCGTTATTTTTTATTTATTTATTATCTACCCTTTCTACTTTCTTTAATCTATTGTCTTCCATTTTATCTGTTTTACTACATTCTACAATTTGTTCACATTCTTCAAAACGAATTATAAGATTACGATAAAGGAGAGAGAGAGAGAGAGAGAGAGAGAATAAAACAAATAAGAATAAGAGAAACAGAAAGACAAACAAAAATAAAAGTAAATGGTAAAACAAGAGAAAAATAATTTAACCTAAAATATATGTTATCCAACTCTGTGAAATAATGGACAGACAGACTGACGCTCCCCACAACTTCTTACTGCCCCCCTCCTCCCCTCCTCCCCTCCTCCCTATACCCACACACCAACACCTCTTTCCCTGCCCCCCACCTAGTCTTCCTCCCTTTAAACTTCCCTTCCTTTACCCAATCTTCCTCCTCCTCCTCCTCCTCCCTCTCCCATTCCACATTTCCTCCCTATTCTTCTTTATCACCTCTCCGCTTTCCTCACCTCCCTAACCTCTCCCTCCCCTAACCATCCCCCTCTCCCTCCTCCTCCCTCCTCTCTCCTCCTTCAATCTTCCCCCTCTTAACCTCCCCTCTCCTCCTCCCCACCCGAACATTCCCTCCCCTCGCCATATCTCTCGCAAGGCACCAAACTTCCTCAGAACCAAGAAAAGTCTCTTTCATGTACGAGGAATTAGTCCCGAGACACGGTCAATTCTCCAGCGTATCCAAGGCCCGGTGTCCGTTCCTTGAATCTTTACTGTGGAGGTGAATTGAGCTCGGAATGGAAACTGTTGCCTCTTAGGTGGGTTTCTACTTTTTTTTTTTTAGTTAGGAATTCTTTACCGACGTATTTTATCATTGTTTATATATATCTATAACGAGTATACTTTTATTTATTATAGGTATTTGTGTAATATTTAAACATGGAAGGAAACTGAGTTCTATGTACAGGTTGTTGTGTCCAAAGGGATTTTTTTTAATTGATTTATAATAAAACAAAATTATTTCTTTTTATTCCATCGCATATTTTACTCTGAAAGGAGACTGTGCCCAGCATGGTAAATCCTTTTTAGGAGAATAATGCTTTGTGCGTAACTTTCTTTACCAATTTAGACTATTTTATGATATTTTTATTTATTTTAGAATTTTTTATCCACTATTTTATGATTTTTTATTTATTTTAGAATTTGTTATCCATTATTTTATTATTTTTTATCGACTGATTTATTGTGTTCATATTTATATATAGTAGTAGAATTTATACCAATTCATCTGACGTATTTTTTTTATGCAAAATTGAAATGTATTTTTATTAGTTTTCTGAAATTTTAAATATCTTCATGTATACTATTTTCTTAAGATAATATATGTATATAATTTCATATTTAATCAACTTATTTTTATTCAATATGTATTTTTTTACCTGTACGCACTATAAGTCAGCTCTATGTATGCTAAATTTGACTATCTCACATGGTCTCTCATTGGCCAGTACAGACCTGTCCACGCTGACGATCCTTTTGAGGAGTTGTTGATAAATGTTGTTATTGGTTATGAGTTGAAGTGGGATCCATAGGTTGTGAATATTGTTTTATATTTACCTTTCTTTCTTTCTTTCTTTCTTTCTTTCTTTCTTTCTCTACATTCTCTCTTATCTCTCTCCTCTTTATTTCTCGTTTTTCTCTCTCACCTTCTCTCTCTCTCTCTCTCTTTTTGCACTTATCAATATCACTTTTACTGCAACACAAGACCAAAGAAACACATACATACATACATTCATACATACATACATACATACATACATACATACATACATACATACATACATACATACAGACATACATACATACACAAAACTCTCCACCACCCACCACAAGAGCTAATTTGATAGCTCACGTTGTATCACTCCAAAGGCTGGGTGAAAACTTTCTAACTCTCTCTCTCCCTCGAGCGAACGACTCTGCTATTGGAACATATTGTTTTGTGAGTCAGTTACTGCCAGGGTAAATCTAGATTGATAGAAAAGTAATATGGCTTTCGGGAAAAAAAATGGTTAAATTCTTTTTGTTTCATATGGATAGTGTGTGTGTGTGTGTGTGTGTGTGTGTGTGTGTGTGTGTGTGTGTTTTTGTGAGTACCGAAGCAGCACACCGAGACCACTTACTAATTAAACACCTTTACCCAATAACATGATATAGTGTAAGGATAGGCCGCCATAGTGTTCCCTGAGGATAAACCCTTTCACTCAGGCTAATAATAATGGCCTATAGACACACAGGCTACCCGGCCATAGTGCACTGTACATAGATGGTGCAACATAGACACACATAGATGATAATAGAGTAAGTTATCACTATGTACTGTACAGGTAAGCCCATTATGCATAGGTTAATTACCTTGTACACCTGGTCTATAGTTAACCATTAGAACCTATTATTACTGAGAAGACTTAATGGATTCTGGGTCCTAATTAACAATGGATCTTACGTTAAATTCTCACCTGTTTGTATTTAAGTGAGATAAAACTCCTACCTCTCACCTGTTTTTGTCTAAGTGAGGTAAGACTTCTACCTCTCACCTGTTTGTGATTAAGTGAGGTAAGACTCCTACCTCTCACCTGTTTGTGATTAAGTGAGGTAAGACTCCTACCTCTCACCTGTTTCTGTAAAGTCTCAATGTTAAAGTGAGGCTGCCTTTGCTACTTTCCTTATTGTTTCTCATAATATTTTCTCGTTTACTTTCTTTACTGTTGTCTCTGCTACTTTCTCTGCTACTACCCGTACTACTTCGCGTGCTAATTACTTTATTACGTCCTCTACTACTTCCCCTACTACTTCCTCTTCTACTTTCTTCACTACTTCCTCTACTACTTCCTCTACTACTTCCCCAACTACTTTCTTTACTACTTCCTCTACTATTTCCCCTTGTACTTTCATTACCACTTCCTCTACTACTTCCCCTACTACTTCCCCTACTACTTTATTTACTACTTCCTCTACTACTTCCCCTACTACTTTCCCTACTACTTCCTCTACTACTTCCCCTTCTACTTTCCTTTCTACTTCCTCTACTACTTCCTCTACTATTTCCCCTTCTACTTTCTTTGCTACTTCCTCTATTACTTCCTCTACTACTTCCTCTACTACTTCCTCTTCTACTTTCTTTACTACTTCCTCTACTACTTCCTCTACTACTTCTCCAACTACTTTCTTTACTACTTCCTCTACTATTTCCCCTTGTACTTTCATTACCACTTCCTCTACTACTTCCCCTACTACTTCCCCTACTACTTTCTTTACTAATTCCTCTACTACTTCCTCTACTACTTTCCCTTCTACTTTCTATACTACTTCCTCTACTACTTCCCCTACTACTTCCCCAACTACTTTCTTTACTACTTTCTTTACTACTTCCTCTACTACTTACCACTCTTCCTACTCTTTCTACCTCCCCACTACTTACTCTACTACTCTTCCTTCTACTCTCTACTACTTCCTCTTACTACTTCCTACTACTTCAACCACTTTCTTTTACACTTACTACTCTCACTACTTCCTCTCTACTCTTCATACTACTCTACCACTCCAACCACTCTCTTTACTACTTCCTCACTACTTACCTCTACCACTTTCTCCCTTCTACTTTCTTTACTACTCTCTACTACTTCTACCACTTTTACTACTCCTCTACTACTCCTCTTACTACTTTCCCTTCCTACTTCTATACCACTTCACTACTCTCCCACCACTTCCCCCAACCACTTTACCACTCCTCCACTACTTCACTCTCACTACTTCCCTTCCCACTCTCTTTACTACTTCCTCACTACTCAACCACTTTACTACTCTCTTACCACTTACCACTTCCCTTCTACTCTCTTTACTACTTCCTCTACTACTCCCTCTACCACTTTACCACTTCCTTTCACTACTTCCTCTACTACTTCCTTCCCCACTCTCTATAATTACTCTCTACTACTTCCCCTACTACTTCCAACTACTTCTTTACTACTCTACTACTACTTACTTTACTTTCCCTTCTCTACTTTCTTACTACTTCCTTCTACTACTCCCCCAACTACTTTTACTACTTCCTCTTACTACTTCTTCTACTACTTCCCATCTAATTTCTTTACTACTTACTTACTACTTTCTTTACTACTTCCTCTACTACTTCCCCTACTACTTCCCCTACTACTTTCTTTACTACTTCCTCTACTACTTCCCCTACTACTTCCCCAACTACTTTCTTTACTACTTCCTCTACTACTTCCTCTACTACTTTCCCATCTACTTTCTTTACTACTTCCTCTACTACTTCCCCTACTACTTCCCCAACTACTTTCTTTACTACTTCCTCTACTACTTACTCTACTACTTTCCCTTCTACTTTCTATACTACTTCCTCTGCTACTTCCTCTACTACTTCCCCAACTACTTTCTTTACTACTTCCTCTACTACTTCCTCTACTACTTTCCCATCTACTTTCTTTACTACTTCCTCTACTTCCTCTACTGCCGGCTGCTTCATCTCCTCTCCACCAGGTAATTCAAGGTGAAATCAATACCGGTGTTGAAACTCGACCCAAAGAGAGCGATATAATTAACGCGTCATGGTGTACCTGTCTGTCTGTCTCTCTGTCTGTGTGGGTGTATGTTTCTCGGTCTGTCTGTCTCTCTGTCTGTGTGGGTGTATGTTTCTCGGTCTTTGTGGATGTATGTCTGTCTGTCTATCGGTCTGGATGCCTGTTTGCTGGTCTGTCTGTCTGTCTGTCTGTCTGTCTGTCTGTCTGTCTGTCTGTCTCTCCTTCGGCTGAATCATACCTCTCTCTCTCTCTCTCTCTCTCTCTCTCTCTCTCTCTCATCATCTCTTCACCGTCTCTAGCCAGGGTGAAGGAGGGTGCCGGGAGAGACTATCTCTCCTTCAGCACCGTTAAGCGTGAAATCTGGCAAGGCTGGAGACAAGATTTCTGATGTCTCGCGCCAGACCCAGCTGGGGTATGTGTGAGGAGCAGGGGGGAGAAAGAGGAGAGGGAGAGAAGAAGGGGACAGAGAGAGAGAGGGGGACAGAGAGAGGGGGACAGAGAGAGAGAGAGGGGGACAGAGAGAGAGGGGGAAGAGACATGAGAGAGAGGGGGGGACAGAGAAGAGGGGGGGAAGAGACAGAGAGAGAGAGAGGGGGGAGACAGAGGGAGGGGGACAGAGAGAGAGGGGGACAAGGGGGACAGAGAGAGAGAGAGGGGGGGACAGAGAGGGGGACAGAGAAGAGAGGAGGGGGACAGAGAGAGAGAGGGGGGACAGAGAGGGGACAGAGAGAGAGAGAGGGGACAGAGAGAGAGAGGGGGGACAGAGAGAGAGGGGGGACAGAGGGGGGAAGAGACAGAGGGAGAGGGGGAGACAGAAGAGAGAGGGGGCAGAGGGGGGACAGAGAGAGGGGTTACAGAGAGAGAGGGGGGGGACAGTGAGAGGGGGAGTGCAAGAGGAAGAGAGGGGACAGAGAGGGGAGAGAGGGGGGACAGAGAGAGAGGGGGACAGAGAGAGAGAGGGAAGAGACAGAGGAGAGAGAGGGAGACAGAGAGGGGGGCAGAGAGGGGGACAGAGAGGGGACAGAGAGAGAGAGGGGGGACGAGGGGGGGACAGAGAGAGAGAGAGAGGGGGGGGACGAAGAGAGGGGGACAGAGAGGGGGGGACAGAGAAGAGAGAGGGGGACAGAAGAGAGGGGACAGAAGAGAGGGGAAGACAGAGGAGAGAGGGAGACAGAGAGGGGGGCAGAGAGAGAGGGGGACAGAGAGAGGGGGTTACAGAGAGAGAGAGGGGGACAGAGAGAGGGGTACAGAGAGAGAGGGGGGACAGAGAGAGAGAGAGGGAGGACAGAGAGGGGGAAGAGACAGAGAGTAGGGAAGAGACAGAGAGTGGGGGGACAGAGAAGAGGGGGACAGAGAGGACAAGAGAGGGGAAGAGACAGAGAGAGAGGGGGACAGAGAGAGGGGACAGAGAGAGAGAGGGGGGAGCAGAGAAGAGGAAGGGGAAGAGACAGAAGAGAGGGGGACAGAAGGGGGGGAAGAGACAGAGAGGGGGGAGACAGAGAGAGGGGGCAGAAGGAGAGGGGACAGAGAGGGGGTTACAGAGAAGAGAGGGGGGACAGAGAGGGGGTACAGAGAGAGGGGGGACAGAGAGGGGGGACAGAGAGAGAGGGGAGGGACAAAGAAGAGAAGAGAGGAGGACAGAAGAGAGAGGGAAAGAGACAGGGAGAGAGAGGAGACAAGAGAGAGAGGGTTACAGAGAGAGAGAGGGAGGACAAGCAGAAGACAGGGGAGAAGAGACAGAGAAGACAGAGACAGAGAGGAGAGAGAGAGAGAGAGAGAGACAGAGTATGTTGAGATGGTGGTGTCTTGCCTGCTTTTGACACGACGGAGTGAGATAGTGAGAGAGAGAGAAAAGAAAGGAAGAGAAACAGACAGACAGATAGAGAGACATAGTGATTGTTTACACTTACATAGATACAAATATACTAACCTAACCTAACCTAACCTAACCTAACCAAACCTACCCTAACCTAACCAAATCTAACCTAACCAAATCTGACTTTTTATTCAAGTTTTGGCCTGGGAGTTAGTTTTGTCTCATTTAATCAATTAACTAAAAAAATATATACCAACATAGCTTTTCATTTTTAACACAATTGCACAAAAGTTGCAACAGTTTCCCTCGATAGACAACAAGGAATTAAAATAACTACAATATTCTTGGTTGAAACTGTTGCAATATATTTTACTTCTGCTGTTGAAACTCTACAATATCTCTCTAATGAACTTTTGAAACCCTGTGGTAATCGTTCACGTCCACTGTAGAAACCGAGTAACTTCGCACTCGTTACTGTAGAAACCTTGTAACTTCTCTCTGCCTTCCCACCGACTGTAGAAACCAAAGCAACATATCTCTGTCTTCTCACTGTAGAAACCCAACGCTATCACCCCCCCTTACCTACTGTAGAAACCCACCTACATGTCCCTGTTTCCCCACTGTAGAAACCATGCAGTGTGACCAATTCATCCACCTTTGAAACCCGTGGAAAATTAAGCCATTAATATTCGCACACTTGCAGAAACTGACACACTAAGTCGACTCAACAATTGCATGAACTTCAAGTCCCAATTAGGGCGATAATCGGCAGCCAGTTTGTGACGATGTGTGGGGGAGTGAGTGTGTTGGGGAGGGAGTGTGTTGGGGTGAGGGAGTGTGTTGGGGAGGGAGTGTGTTGGGGAGGGAGTGTGTGGTGGAGTGAGTGTGTTGGGGGAGGGAGTATGTTGGGGAGAATGTGTTGGGAGGGAGTGTGTGTTGGGGGGAGTGAGTGTGTGTTGGGGAGGGGTGTGTTGGGGAGGGAGTGTGTTGGGAGTGAGTGTGTTGGGGAGGGAGTGTGTGTTGGGAGGGTGTGTTGGGGTGAGTGGTGTGTTGGGAGGTGTGTTGGGAGGAGTGTGTTGGGGGAGAGGTGTGTTGGGAGTGAGTGTGTTGGGGAGGGAGTGTGTTGGGGTGAGGGAGTGTGTTGGGGAGGGAGTGTGTTGGGGAGGGAGTGTGTTGGGGAGGGAGTGTGTTGGTCAAAGTTACACCTACACCTCGACCTCGCTACACCTACACCTCGACCTCGCTACACCTACACCTCGACCTCGCTACACCTACACCTCGACCTCGCTACACCTACACCCCAGCAAAGTCACACATACACCACTTAAAACTTTTATAAACGATCTGACGAATCTACTCGACAAACTTTTTTTTTTAAACTTTTAACTCAGTTTTATACTTTTTTGGCGGTGAATTTTCCCCCAAATTTCCGGTTGAGTATATTTTTTTTGGCACCGTAAATTAAAATCAAGTTATCCGAATGTTTAAATCCGGTATAATTATTAAATGAAATCCAGTAATGTACACTTCCTATAACTGACATGTGACTGTTGTATTTCGACAAACAAACAGACACAAACAGACACAAACATACACAAACAAATCAATGAGTACCCCTCTGTCAGGTCTCTTAATCCTCGGGGCACGCGCTTCGAGAGGCAACCAGAAACGGATATGGTATACTGCTGTTCTTAACTACATAATGGAAAAGGTTTCTCCCTCGTGTAACCCAAGCTAGACCTTCTCCTCCTCCTCCTCTTCCTCTTCCTCTTCCTCTTCCTCTTCCTCTTCCTCTTCCTCCTCCTCTTCTTCCTCCAACTCCTCCTCTTCCTCTTCCTCCTCCTCCTGCAGTGACACGATTGATCTTCACTTAACACACGCTGCGGTTTCCTCTCTCTCTCTCTCTCTCTCTCTCTCTCTCTCTCTCTCTCTCTCTCTCTCTCTCTCTCTCTCTCTCTCTCTCAGTTCTGCGGTATATATAAACACAACATCACCTCTTATACAGCTATATATAAAAACCTAATATATGACCTTTTCCAACCACTATATTCCTTCATAATATAACCACACTATCTTATACCAGTCTATATTATACCTATGATATAGTATAGAATATCAGTAGACTCTTCGCCTATCACTGTAATATATCGTTATATTCTGGTATGTAATATAGTATAGTCATTCTCTCTTGTGTTTATGTGGGGTTATATTTTGAGTATATTTTCTGGATAGTGTTTTGGTTCTCTTCTTCATTCTCTCTCTCTTGTTGTTGTTGTTGTTGTTGTTGTTGTTGTTGTTGTTGTTGTTGTTGTTGTTGTTGTTGTTGTTGTTGTTGTTGTTGTTGTTGTTGTTGTTGTTGTTGTTGTTCGTTGTTGTTGTTGTTTGTTGTTGTTGTTGTCGCTGTGGTTCGTTGTTGTTCGTTGTTGTGCGTTGTTGTTGTTGTTCGTTGTTGTTGTTGTTCGTTGTTGTTCGTTGTTGTTGTTGTTCGTTGTTGTTGTTGTTCGTTGTTGTTCGATATTGTTGTTCGTTGTTGTTGTTGTTGGTTGTTGTTGTTGGTTGTTGTTGTTGGTTGTTGTTGGTTGTTGTTGGTTGTTATTGATGTTGTTGTTGTTGTTGTTGTTGTCGTTGTTGTTGCGTCGTGTCTTGTCGTTGTCTCTTGTCGTCCCCTTCGTTGTCGTTGTTGTTGTTGTTGTTGTTGTTGTTGTTATTGTTTGTTGTTGTTGTTGTTGTTGTTGTTGTCGTTGTCGTTGTTGTTGTCGTTGTCGTTGTTGTTGTCGTTGTTGTTGTTGTTGTTATTGTTGTTGTTGTTGTTGTTGTTTATTGTTGTTGGTTATTGTTATTGTTGTTGTTGTTGTTATTGTTGTTGTTGTTGTTGTTGTTGTTCTCTTTCATCTCTTCCCTATCTCCCTTTTTTGTCTCTTTATCTCTCTTTTTCTGTCCGCTGCCTTATCTTTTTTCTGTGTTCGTTTGTTCGTCTGCCTGTATTTCTCTGTCTGTTTCTCTCCTTTTTATTTCATCATCTGTCTGTCTGTCTGTCTGTCTCTTTCTCTCTGTCAGTCCTTAAAGCTTCTCGTAGTAATTCAATACCTGTATAATGAACTGTATGTGTGTGTGTCGCCGTAGAAAATTGACCTTCGAGTCAACCATAATGACTAAAACTATCACCTTTTACCTCTCACACTCTGGCATTAATTAAATTGCCCCCAGGTATACTTTAATCTCTATTTGATAATTTAAATAATAAAAATATAAATAGCCAAAAAAACTCCATCATAACTAACCTAATCTAACGTAGCTTAAAGCAACTTAACCTAACCTAACCTAACCTAACCTAACCTAACCTAACTTAACCAAACTTAACCTAACTTAACCTAACCTGTGATAGTAAACGAAATGGAAAAATAAACATATATGAACAAATTTCCATAAAGTGATATCAATTAAACGAAAATGTTCTCTCGGAATAATTAAAAAAACGTGTATTTTAAGGTTTCATCAGAAGAGTTCAATTAATAATACTGTAAAGAAAACAACTCATTCATCCGACACTGAATTGACACTCAGCCACAGTATTTTTGCATGACACGGGAGGAGGGGGAGGGGTGGGGGAGGCGACCGGAAATCAAGCATGGCAGATCAATATTGAGTCAGTGGCACTATTGACACTTGTGGCACCAGTGTCGGAAGTGTGAGTCTGAGGTCAATACTTGTTGGTTGAGGTTGTTTACTGTGCTAGGGAGGGAGGTCACGAGGTTAAAGGTCACCACAGAGGGTTCGTTTGACCTCACATTGAGTATATGCTTATCGCTATTCAGTTCTTATAAGGTTATAACTCTTCATCTATCTATCTATCTATCTATCTATCTATCCTCTCACATCGTTCATTCCACCTCCACCACCACCACCACCACCACCACCACCACCACCACCACCACCACCACCACCACCACCACCAACACCACCACCACACTACCACCACCACCACCACCACCACCACCACCACCACCACCACCACCACCACCACCACCACCCACCACCCACTCACCCTCTTGTATGGTTGAACGGGCTGGCCATCTATGAACCAGCTGAGAGCGGCAGCTGGCCTCGAGCCTCGTGACGTACACACTAAAACCATCTGTTGGCCATCACGTGTGGCTCCAGGGTTGCTGATCTTCACACTTGTTGGCAACACTGTCAAGGGAGGGAGAGAGGGGGTTGGGTGTTAAAGAATGCTGCTTAAAGAGAGAGAGAGAGAGAGAGAGAGAGAGCTTACATAGCATCAATAACAGGTTACCAAAATAAAATAAAAGATAGAGATTCTTTCTCGTTGGTAATACTGCAAGGAGAGGGTAACATTATCCAAGGTGTTGTTCCACATCATGATAATTGGTAACACTAGCAGGATGTGAGAGTAATTTCTTAGAACCACGTTGGTAACACTGATAATAAATTGAAGAAAAAACACTGATAAATGAAGAATGAATGATATTATTTTTTTCGGAATAATTATGTTTATTTATCTATCTTTATCTATCTATCTATTTATTGTATATATATTTTATCAGAATATTTTCCTAACTGCTAACTGTTGTTCATCACCCAGCTCTCAGTTTTATCTCTCACTTGACTGTCTCTCACCTGGGTGTCTCTCACCTAGCTGTCTCTCACCTGGTTGTCTCTCACCTGGCTGTCTCTCACCTGACTGTTCTCTCACCTGGCTGTCTCTCACTGGCTGTCTCTCACCTGGCTGTCTCTCACCTGCTGTCTCACCTGGCTGTCTCTCACCTGGGTGTCTCTCCTGGCTGTCTCTCACCTGGCTGTCTCTCTCACCTGGGGTCTCTCACCTGACTGTCTCTCACCTGGTTGTCTCTCACCTGGCTGTCTCTCACCTGGCTGTCTCTCACCTGGCTGTCTCTCTACCTGTCTCTCACCTGGCTGTCTCTCACCTGTGTCTCTCACCTGGCTGTCTCTCATCCTGGCTGTCTCTCACCTGGCTGTCTCTCACCTGACTGTCTCTCACCTGGGTGTCTCTCACCTGGCTGTCTCTCATCTGGCTGTCTCTCACCTGGCTGTCTCTCACCTGGGTGTCTCTCACCTGGCTGTCTCTCACCTGGCTGTCTCACCTGGCTGTCTCTCACCTGGGTGTCTCTCACCTGGGTGTCTCACCTGGGTGTCTCACCTGGCTGTCTCTCACCTGGGTGTCTCTCACCTGGGTGTCTCTCACCTGGGTGTCTTTCACCTGGCTGTCTCTCACCTGGGTGTCTCTCACCTGGCTGTCTCTCACCTGGCTGTCTCTCACCTGGCTGTCTCTCACCTGGGTGCTCTCTCACCTGGGTGTCTCACCTGGGTGTCTCACCTGGCTGTCTCTCACCTGGGTGTCTCTCACCTGGGTGTCTCTCCCACCTGGGTGTCTTTCACCCAGCTGTCTCACCTGGCTGTCTCTCACCTGGCTGTCTCTCACCTGGGTGTCTCTCACCTGGGTGTCTCTCACCTGGGTGTCTCTCACCTGGTGTCTCTCCCCTGGCTGTCTCTCACTGGCTGTCTCTCACCTGGGTGTCTCTCACCTGGCTGTCTCTCACCGGGTCTCTCACCCTGTCTCTCACCTGGGTGTCTCTCACCTGGCTGTCTCTCACCTGGGTGTCTCTCACCTGGCTGTCTCTCACCTGGCTGTCTCTCACCTGACGGTTCCTCGCTAATTATCTGAATATTCATTACTAAATTAAAATTAGACTTGTAGATTATTTTCATTTTATATTTATTATGAT